TCTGATAAAGGCACATACAACTGCTTTCTTAACATCATTAGGTATGTGTTTTCCTTCATTCTTGAAATTCTCCGCTAAATGACGCTCATAGAAGGCATGATGAGCATTCTCAAAAACTTGATAGATAGTATCCACTAGACCAAGGTGTCTATTTGACAAAAAAGTGATTGACGATCCGTCCCAATAGCAATCTTTAGAAATTCCATAAACCATAACTAGTTATCTGTACTTTTGGCATCCACAATTGTGAATGCAACTAGAGACATTAGTTCATCCCTATCGAGTGAATTGACAGCAAGTAGAGTCCCTACGTATCGTGCTTTCGATGATTTCCCATCGAGAAATAGAATTGGATGACATCCATTCTTGAAACCATATATTGACCCATAAAAGCTTAAAAATAATCGACAAAATCTGCCTCTTAACTATACTTGTCCTGTTGCATAACTACCAGGATTTGTCTCCTTAACACGGCTTACATATGCTGGTAACTGGTTGTATGCCTCATATTGCGAACCATATATGTCTTTGATGGTCGTTTCTTTTCCTCGCCAAGCCTTCCAATAAAGTACTTCTAATCCATAATCTCGAGATAAATCATTCATGATTTCTCTAGACTTGTAATACGCGTTGTCACTTAATTATCCTTGATTAAGGATGCAACAAATTTTCGTGACACCCTTTTTTGTACATCATTGCTTGTCCCAATATTGCATGAGTGATCTTTTTTCTATGTTTGGATTCTAAAACATTCGTCATGCCAAGCTTCACAACATATATCTCCCAATTGCATTCGTCACCCTTGCATTTTGCCCTTGTACGATACGCCTTATTTTTAACGAGATGGTATGTGAAATGGTTTGTTATAGCAAACTTGCTAAGTGCTTTGCAGAAATCTTCTACAGATTCAAACTGATGTCCTACCTCAACAAGTGCATCCTCCTATGTGCTAAGCAACCTTAGTGCATTGCTTTGTTTAGAGTCAGAGACCAAAACATTAGAGGGTTATGGGGGTCTGACCTCTTCGACTGCCATAGTATTATGTGAAGTACTTCTACCCCTACGTTCACTCCCATGGAATACATAGACGAACACTTGATTCTCCCCTTCATGAGCGTTCAACATCCTAGTAATATCATTGTCAATGAATAGGTTCAATATAAATCTCTTATTTCTCGGGACAAAATACCTCAGTGATATCAAGTGCATGTCAAGTGAGAAGCACTCTGCTACGTATTTTTGCATGTCATCTAACTTAGTTCTACAGTCAGTGAAAAGGGTAAATGCATTACCACCAATATAATATAAAGTCCCATCCACATTTGTTCGGAGTTTTCCACCAAAATGCAATAAATTAATCAGCTATCACCTATTTTTTTTCTGTCCTGCACAATATTTATAGTAATTTATATATACAACATCTTAAATACTAGCCTTGAACTTGCCATATGCTTACTGTTTTTAAATAACAAATTATATTTTAACAAGAGCTCTGCAAATTTCTTTAAGAGATTTTCTAAGAAATTCTACAATGAATAGATATTGGGGAACTGAATCTAACTGTTATAGAGAATATCACTTGGAGGGATTGATCTACATAGACTAGCCAACCAAAGAGTAATGCTATTGGGTAGGCTATGTTCCCCTAAATGATGGAAAGTTGGGGATCTGACATGTTTCGTACAATGAAGCAAGCTGATGATATGGTAAAAATTACAAAGTATAACAAGATAACAAGGGCAACATTGATTGTCAGCAATAGGGCACTTAATTTCATAACTTGGAAGAGAGCCAGTGATTTAAGATGGTAACGAACCAACAGCTCTCAGAATCTTATTTGAAAACCGTTAGTTGTCTTCATTTAGACAGCTAGTCATCCCAAAAAATTACAAAAGAAATAACAGTCATTTAAACTCCATGAGAATTAAGGAATATAAACACAGTTTTTTCTATTAGTTTTTCAATGATGGCTAAAGTGACATTAGAAATTAAAGAGACAAACACCAAAATTACTAAAGATTCCACTATACCTTTGACAAAATCATAAAACAGGAACTTGTATAATAACCAATTTGGTTTGGATAAAATTAGACAGAAATAACCAACCATTTTTGTGGGGTAAGTAGCAATAATCAAATACTACATCTTTAAATCCATAATCAAATAATTGAATTCAAGTTCCAAGTGACTTACCCCAGCGGAAATATAGAAAATGCACAGTGATAAATGGCAGACAAAATTTAGAGCCAAAAACAAATTACATATCCATTCTTTTAGTCCATACACGTGAGTTTTATCTACCATTTATCATAACAAATTAAAAATAAAAAAATCAATACATCTTAAGAATCACCTATCCATTATTTCATTTGTCAATAACAAATTAAATACAGCCAATGTGGCTAAATAACAACCCAACAACATATTTTAGGTATACGTTTTCATCCACCTTTCGATAAAAAACAACATAAATTTAATTTTCCCTAAATTTAAAGACAATCAACAAGCTTTTGATTCACATTTTTACTTCATATCATTAAGGAAAAGGTTTTCATGGCAAGCTTTAACCACAAAGTTGAAGTTACAACATAAATAGCATTATCAAAAATGTTTTTAAATATTTAATTGAACTATTCTTTCATACCTGGTCTTCAAAAATCGAGCTCGGCCTGTGATGGGATCAATGCTCTATATAGGACATTCGTAGAGAGTTGTGGGACTTTCGTGGGGGAGAGAAAAACCTTCGTAGAGATTGTGACAAAGTTGTGGGACCTTTGATTGTAGAGTGAGAAAAAAAACGTGATTCTTTGTGGAAGAGAGTGAGTGAAAGAGAGATTGAGAGAGAAGTAGAGTTTTGGCTTAAGTAAAGAGAGAAAGTAGAGTTTTGGCTTAAGTAGAGAGAGAAAGTAAGGCCAAAAGTAGAAAGAGGGGGAGTGTAAAAAAAATAGGTCATGAGAGATAGAGAGCGGGCATTGTAGAAAAAGATGGAGACAAGTACTCACATTTGAAGAGAGAAAAACGAAAATGGGAAAAATCGTGGAGTTGGAAATGGGAATACCGTGACGAAGGAGAAAGAATGGAGAAGGGCATGACCGAAAATGGTGGAGAGATAAATGGGAAATACGCTAATGAAGAAGAAGGAAATGGGAAATTTCGTGAGGGAAGGAGAAGGAATGGAGCGAAGGTAAAAAACATAGGGGCATAGGGTAAGGGTAAAAAAAAAAAGAAAGATAAAAGGTATATTAAAAATAAGAAGTAATTTTGTCCTAATTTTTATGTTTTTTAAGTTTGGGGGATTTTAGTTATAAAAGTTGGTATTTTATAAAAAAAAGTGAGAAAATTTTGGGGTGGCAGTAGAGTGTCTTAAAGAGTACATTCTAAAGGGTTTTTAGCAATTTTCCCTAATTTATTTATACTCCCTTGGTTGAAAGACCCACTTGATAAGATTGTTTCAATATGAAATTTTGGGAACCACTTAAAAATTGCTAGATCACTTTTCTCATAAAAAGAAATTTAAAATTTGAGTTTTTGCACACTTGCATCTCAACTTCCAAAAATTAATCGTTCTCTATTCAATCTTGAGACAACATTTTTTCCAAGTACATTGAGGGTATAATTAGGATATTTTTTAGGGAAAATTACAAAATCCCCTCAAAAGTATATTGTCTAGACAACCTCTCCCATCTATTGTTTTATTTTATTTTATTGTAATTTTTATCCAAAAATAAACTTTTATAGCAAATAACCCCCAAGTCAGAAGTTATATTTTTTTGATGAAAAAGCCCTTTTCCCGTACATAAGAAATTATGTTGGACCAAACATGACGTGGACTCACGAATATAGTGCCGATCCGAGAGGAAAAAGTGCCGGACCCGCATGAAGACATCTTTAGGCTAATATTGCCGGACTGAGACATGGTTATGCCGGACCGCGTGAACATATTGCCGGACCCTGTGGTTAATATGCCGGACCGCCTTTATAAAGTGTTGGACCCTATTTTTTCCAAAACCCTATTGCCTGACCATTTCTATAAACTGTTGGACCCCTTATTTTTTCAAAAATATTTAATGTTGGACCACTTTTAAAAACTTAGGCCGTGGGTGGGAAAGAGAAGAGAGAGGTGTCTTAACCGAGGGGAGGGTATTTTGTTTTTTTACATTTTTTAGGGGTATTTGCTAGAAAGTTATTATTTTTTAAAGGGGTATTTGCTAGAAAAGTATGTTTTGGGGTAAAATTGCAAAAAAAATTGGTTGGGAGGAAGTTGTCTAAATGTCAAGAATTTTTCCTATTTTTTATTGAGGTTAATCTATAGGTGAAGAGGTTACATATTCTAGGTAGAGTTTCACCTGAGGGGAGTAAATGGATGTTATATTACTGCAAGAGTATAATATATTGGTATTAAAAAAAAGGGAAATTACGATTCAAACGTCACCTCATAATTCATTGAAATTTACAATTCAAGCATTGGAAAAACTTTAAATCGATCATCTTAGCTTGAATATTATAATTGTGAAAAAAAATTAGTATTTTAAGTTCGAAAACTAGTGTATATTGCAACAAATCATCTAGACCATCCATTTCACAAGAAAAATAAGTATTCACATATCTACAAATTAGTACCATTTGTTGAGTTTCTAATTATATTTTTGGTGTTGGAAATTGATTTTAGAGCCGTCATGGAGATTTCCAATGCCAACAGTGCTTTCCAGATGAGGATTTGAGGTGAGGTTTTATTTTGTTTCCATAAAGCTTAGGGTTTATAGAAACTTCATCCAAAAGGGTGCAGTTGGCATAAAGATGCATCCGTAGTTGTAGATGTAAGGTGCACGTTCAAATTTTATCATGGTATATAATTTTCATGTAAAATGTTATTAGAATTATCTCAAAATCTATTTTTATATCTAGTTATAAAATTTTAAATTTTAAAAATGGTTAAAATCAAGTAGATCCATAAACATATGAAAATCTTGAAAATGGATGGTGTAGATAATATGTTGTAAAATGCACTATTTTTTAGACTTAAATTTTTTTTATTTTTTATGGTCATACAACTTGATGTCGAGATGATCAATCAAAGGGTTTTTCAACATTAAAACGACCTTTTTCGCTGGATATTTGAGGTGCATCCGCGGCTATAGGGGTATTCGCTGGATAATTGAGGTGCATCGGCGGCTATAGGGGTAAGGATGCAACCTTACATTTGCCATCCAAAACAAGGGGTAGGGGGTGGAATTGCCATTATGCTCCCGCTCCTTTCGTTGTTCCGTGGCCATTTACGCTCCCACACGCTTTTTGAAATTTCAAATCCCGACTCCGCACTTCAACCCGCCAGCCTCCACCCTTTCTTCACTCTCTCTCTCTCTCTCTCTCTCAACCACACTTAATAAGGACCCTCCCCGTCTCTCTCTCTCCCTCAAGGCATAAGCCCCTCGCTCTCTCTCTCGCCCCCTAAAACTGACAAAAAAACCACCAGGCATAACACTCTCACTCTTGCCCTAATCCTTATTCCCTGCTCTTCCTGCCTGCTGCGATCTCTCTCTCATCTTTCGAGACCCTCGAGATCTTTGCTCCCCTTTCTTTGCAGCAGAAGCCGCCTGTGATGCAATCAATTCCTTGTTTTCAAGACCAAAAGAACAAGACTAGGAGATAGGGATTTTGTTATGCGGACGCCATGACCACGTCTTCTTCTTCCTTCGCTCAAAGAGATCACACTTACAGTCGCAAGCAGAAATCCCTTGGTCTCTTATGCGTCAAGTAATGCAATTTCTCACACTAATGCCCCTTTTCTCTTTCTACGTCCTCTTTCTTTCTCTAGATTTCCTCTCTATTTGTCTCCAATCTGATCTGTGGGTTTCTTTTGTATTCTCTGTCTCTCTTGCAGTTTCCTAGGCTTGTACAATCGTGACGACACGGAGTCAATTGAACTGGATGAAGCTGCCACACGTCTAGGTCTTTCGCTTGCATCAATGGTGATATGGGTTTTCTCACTTTTGAGACAGTTTTAATGGTTCCATTTTGCAGGGGTCGAGAGGCGTAGGATTTATGACATTGTTAATGTTCTGGAAAGTGTTGGGGTATGTCCTCTCTCTCTCTCTCTCTCTCTCTCTCTCTCTCTCTCTCTCTTACTTACTTACTTACTTAGTTACGTTAGTTACGTTAGTTACGTTTACGTTAGTTTAGGTTACGTTACGTTTAGTTTACGTTTACGTTTA